TATATTACAGGGGTACACAGTCTAAATGGTAAAACTTTCGCACCGATCTGGACATCAATACAGGGGCAACCGTGACAAGTCTGGACTGTAAAGTCCTCATATATTTTGATATTCATAATGATTTTTAAGATTTGGTACATTTTCTCTTTAGTTATTGTATTATAAATTTCGAGCATTTGATTAAATCTCTTCAGAAAATTATTACCAAAAATTGGTAATATCAACTTAGTACGTCGAGAATTGATTTAATTTTTCAATTTGCAGATAATTTCAAAAATGATGCATAACATTGTTTTAAAAGTCCTAGCATTACCACAAAAAGATCTCATAATATTGTGATGTCTCTTTGAAGTTTAGAATTTAATTTTTCTTCTCCTTTTTGAATTTTTTTTTCTTTTCGTTTTAATTTTACTTTTTTTCTTTAGGAGGGATTTACTTAGTTTTTTTTTTTTTCAAGAAATGAAAACCATCACCAATCCAAAATAAATTATTACGTAAAGGGCAAATTGGTGCTAAAATTATATTCTTAGTTTTACATACTATAAAAAACGAATGGTTCTAAAAAATTTATCGTACGTACATTAAAGTTGGTCACCGAAACCTTTTTTGCCAAATCCGAAAGTTTCGGGTTTCGGATTATAGTTTCCGAAACCTCATCCGAAACTCGAAACATCACCCGAAACCCTATCCGAAATCCGAAACCTCTTCCGAAACCTGAAATTCCTTCCGAAACCTCTTCCGAAGCTCGAAGCTCTAAAACTTATGATTGAAAAAATTTAGAATGCTTATCGATTCAAATTGTCAAAAGTTTAGGTGTTAACAAATCTTCTATATGTCGTTTTTCAAGATATGTATATATTGAAAAGCTTTCGCAACACTTTGGAATCTTGAGTTACGTCTAAACCAGTTGACAAATTCTTGATCATATATCTAGCTTTTTTTTTAATATTAGCACCTATTCGTGTGGTATGTTTGTTATAAAAGTCTATTTTATATCTGGAGCCTTTTTTATTTCTTGTCCTTTCTCATAAACTTTCGCACAAACTAAACACACCAAACATGCTAAACAAGTATTCAAACGAAAGTTTAATAATGTTGAATGTGTCAACATTACAATGATAGAACGGGGAATACTTCCGTTAAGAATAAAATAGAATAAAATGGCCAATAAATCACAAATTATTTCAAAAATTAAAATTTGAAAATATTCCATGTTTCTGAACACAACTGGTAATATAAAAATATTCAATAATTTAAACCGGATCTGCCGAAAAATCATTTAGCTAACTTTTTATCAGACGTCCCAGAATTTATGAAACAATTCTAATATGTATAGAATATATAATATACAGGTATATGTGTTAGGGAAATAAGTAAATGTGTCGGGAAGTAGAACTGTCGAAATAAATTTCAATATATTATAATTTTTAAAGTTTTGGATTATAGTTTGTTTCGGATTATAGTTTCGGGGTTTCGGTTTTTTTAAAAGAATCCGAAACTAGTTTCGGATTAGAGCTTTCCGAAACTAGTTTCGGGTAGGTTTCGTTTCGAGTACCAACTCTAACGTACATATGTACAAAGTCTGAAATTAACTTTTTTTTGAAACTATCCCACTTTCCATATCGAAAAACATACGTATAAATTTTGCAGCTCGTTATATCCAGGGATTATGATCTGCTGGTTATATAATAATAAATCTATAGTCATGACCAATTAAGCGAAATTTATGTTCGCGAAATTCATTCATTAATTCTCATTATTTTATATAAGAATTACGGTCCGTATCGATTCACCGACAATCACTTTAATTTTGACGACATCACGCCAGGTGAAATTTAGTAAAAATATATACCTGCAACCAATGAAATGCTTAACCCTAACCCTATGTGATGTCGGCTAAATGATCGTTCGGTGAAATGATTGTCGGTGAATCGAAGGGATCCCCAAGAATTTACATGTACAATTAAGGAATACGAAACAAATCACAATAATTTATAGTTAGAACGATATAGTTATGTTAAGCTCAGGCAGTCGAAAGGTTATGTGACTGTGACCTTAATTAGTTGTAACGCTGGATTTACTAATACTTTTCCTCATTTGATCAGTTTACTTTTGTGAACTAATCCCGTCAAACTTCACAAATTGAAAAACAAGGCCGAAAGACCCCCTGTCAAAAGTACATTCACTGTGAAAAGGAGTCCATTAATTTAATTAATCGACTAAAAGAGCACCTATTAAAATGTAATAGGTATAACGATAATGGAGCTTGGCTGGTACAGAAATCAACTAACCAGACTCAGCAGTCGAAAAACACAAAATATTTTTAAACTACGGTCTAGTGCAGTAATTCCTACTGGAACCGGATCGTTCCAGTAGCAATACCGATACTGTATGATATTATTTCTTTAATCACATGAAATCAGGATTAGAACACGCCTCTAATAAAAAGCCACGATGATGAAAATTACCATTAGGATATGAGTGTTGCCAATGGAAAATAAGACTTAACGTTAAGGCTTCAATTACAGTATAAACGTAACGGGCAAACTCCCGAAAATTGATAATACGCTATTGGAGTTCTATTATATAATTTTCAGGGGTTTGTCCGTTATATAATTAAAAGCCCAAAATCTCATTTTCTTTTGACAAAAATAAAGAATATGGCTTTGTTATATTTATATATTTGCAAATCGAATTTTCTTGATTGATTTCAGGATAAAGTTCAGTCATGTGAAAATCCCATGACCACTAACCTTAAATTTGTTCATAAAAACGAAACGAAATTAATTAAGAGTGCACAAATGCTTTCCTTTTTTATCAACTTTTTTACTAAACTGTCCAAAACCATTAAAATTAGGTATGACAGTCTTCAGAGAAAAAAAACTTTATAACTGGTAATTCCCCATTCGTATATACGCATGCATTTATGTACAAAATTATTTCTTAAATTTTAACGCATTCATTTTATACACGCATTTATATCACATGGTTAGAAGGAAAAAAAAACGAATCTTTGCTATTTTATTATTTCTTACCTTTACCTTTGTGCTTAGTTTGAGAATAAATCTCATAACAGAATGGTACGTTGGAGTAATATCGAACTTATTCATAGAAAATAATGGTCTTGATGTTTTAAAAGGCCTTGCGGATTTAGTTGATCCCACAATTGGAACTGAAAATGGTATTCATATTTTCATTTTAAATAGTTCTTTAATTCATTGAAACTAATTAATTTTTATTAAAAAGGTGGTCATGTTTTTAATGGTCCCTGTCATCCTTACGGACTTGTCAAAGTAGGATTCGACACAAATAATCAGAATGATTTCCATGCTGGGTATGTAAATTCTTCATTGCATTAAAATAGTTTATCGAATTATTTATGCTAAAATTTATGAATGTTCTAGATATACAGTTAATGGTAGAATCATGGGTATTACTCGTACGTGATCTTTAAACTAATTTGTCATATTTGTAAGTCACGTTCTTATGCATTTGATACTTTGTATGTACGTAAGTACCTTACAAGTAAGGTCCTAAAACAGACACTATATTTTAATGATGTCTGTCACTTGCAAGCAGTGTTTAAAATTCGATGTTCTCAGTGTTCTCTGAGAACATGTAAAAATGTTTATGAACATAAATTATTGGAAAATGTTCTCTATTTGAGAACATTACCAAATTTTTTTAATATTAAAAAATTTTTGACTTTTAATTTTGAGAACATTTACCAAATTTTTTTAATATTAAAAAATTTTTGACTTTCTAATTTTGAGAACATCAAAAAATTTTCGAGAACATTAAGAATTCAAAAAATGCTTTTTTGAGAACATAAAATTAAATTTGAATTTTAAACATTGCTCGCAAGTCCTACTTACGGAATTCGATTTCAATGATGCAATTTTAGCATTAAATAATGCTATCAGAAATTAAATTTCGTAAGGTTAAACCCGTAAAATAAGTAAGAACGTAACTTACAAGTCTCATCTGGCATCGCCTATATCGTGTTTGACTTTTGTAAATAAATATTTTCGCTTTATTACCAATAATTTGAACCTTAAAATTTAGATCTACATGTCAGTGGAACTGGAGGTGAGAATATTACTCTATTAAAACAAACAATTATTATTATTATTTTTTTTGTCGCGTTTGTTCATTTAGTTTTATGATATTATATAATCAGGCGAACCAAAGTACGGTGTTATCAGCCAATATCCTGTCGTAATACCTTTAAATGAATTGAATCTTAACTCTTATAGCTCGGCTCGGTCATTTGAACAGTTCGAACTCGGCTATGCTAAATTTGGCCTTAAGAGTTATGACATCATGATTGAATTAACCGCTGGCCGACGTACCGGTCTTCATAGATACACATTTCCTCCTTCTGATCATGCTCATGTCATCATTGACTTGACTCATATTCTAACTCAAGGTTGGGGGTCTGTGTTTGGTGTTTCTTTGAATATATCATACTATTACCGTATTCTCTATGTTTATTTATATTCTTCTGATAATTTTATTAGTTCCCGTTGGATAAATGGTGCGATATATTCTGTTTCTCATAACCAAGTTAAAGGTATAGGTCAATATACTGGCGGTTGGAACAACGGTGGTCCCTATAAAGTCTATTTCTGCTCTCAATTCGACACAAATGCTACTGGATTTGCAACGTTCTGGGATGGTTCCATTACTAATGGTTCGACACATCAAGTTGGTGGTAATGATTTCTCGTTAGGTGCAATCCTAACTTTCGATACGTATAAAAACCCTGTGATTCAATCTAGAGTCGGTATATCTTTTATTTCTGCTGATCAAGCTTGCAAAAGTGCTGAAACGGAAGCACCAGATTTTGATTTTGATGCTACACAACAAAGTGTGGTGGATGCATGGGAAAGAGAATTATCTAGAATTAGAGTTGATGGTGGATCAACCGAGTTGCAAAAAATCTTTTACTCTAGTTTATACAGAACTATGATTATGCCAAGTGATCGGTAAATCTCTTATGTTTTTTCATGAATAATTATTTAGTTTTTATTCTAATTTGTGACTTTATAGAACCGGTGAAAATCCAAATTGGTCATCTTTTGATTATTACGGTAAACCAATACCAAATTATGATGATTTTTATACTCTGGTGTGTACATTAAATCATTTATTGATTTATGTATTAATTGTTAAATTTATAAAATATATATATCTGATATATATTGATTTATATAAATTTATTTAAAATCAAATGTTCATTTATCACATCGATACAGTGGGATACATTTAGGTAATTACTATAATTGATAATCTTACGTTAATAAATTACAAGTTTTCTTAGTTGATTCATTATTCCCTGATTAATTAGGACTACAAATCCGCTTTTTACGCTTTTCCAACCAGAACGAGCTGTTGATATAGTTCGATCTCTTATTGATATATATGAACATGTTGGATATATGCCTGATGGACGAAGTGGAATGTATAATGGTATAACACAGGGTGGTTCAAATGCCGACATGTTGGTGGTAAATATATTATATATCCATTTATAACTTAGGATATTCATGAATCTTAACCTACATTTGGTTGTAGGCAGAATTATATCTGAAAAAATTAGGGATGCATACTATTGATTGGAAACTTGCATACGAGGCGCTATTGAAAGATGCAGAAGTCGATCCATGGGAGCAAGGTCTTTATGAAGGAAGGCTTTTTCTTACGAATTATAAAGAGCTTGGTTATATTCCTTCTCCTGTTCATCGAAGGACTGCTTACGCTATTAATCCATGCAGCAGAACTTTGGAATATTCGGCCAATGATTATTCAATTGCTCTTATGGCTAAAGGTAACTAAATCATAACTTCATTATACTTCCATTATAGATGCCTATTTGTTAATACTAAATAAAAATAAATAAATAAAATCTGGTATTTATGCACTTTCAATAACAGCAATGAAAAAGTATGATGATTATATTAAATACAAAAAAAGAGCCAGAAATTGGGAAAATCTATGGTATTCAAACAAGATATATAGAGGTATATTAATCACAATTTAATAATTTATTTACTTTTCATACTATTCTATATTTATAAATTTTTGTTAATGTAAAAGGTGTTAAGGGGTTTATCTTGCCCAGATTTCTGGATGGTACTTTTGATACTGAATGGGAAGTTTTGTATAAAAATGGTGGTGAAACACCATTTTATGAGGGCACTTCTTGGGAATATAGCCTTGATATACCACATGGTAAAATACAAGTCAAAGATTTTAGCATTCATTATAAATTAACTGTCTTTGTTATCCTTATATTTACTTATATATTTCCTATTGAATAGATGTCAAAAGATTAATCTCATTATCAGGTGGTCCGGATGCTTTCGAAAAACGTCTTGACGAAACCTTTTCATCTGGTTACTTATCTTCATTTTACAATATCGGTAATGAACCTTCATTTTTCCATGCTTGTTTATACCATTTTATTGGAAAACAGTATAAATCAGTTGATATAATAAGAGATATTTTAAGAACACATTTTAATAGTGACAGAGGTGGCATTCCAGGTAAGTTTAAGGATTAATGTATTAAATTTATTTATAATGATTATATATTGTATTCAATGCTTACATTATATTATATATGTTAGGAAATGATGATTCAGGTGCCATGGGAAGTTGGTTTGCCTTCCATGCAATGGGAATATTTCCACTGTGAGTTTTTTATCTTTTTTTTGTTATTATTAATTATTTATTATTAATCTCTTACTTTAAATACATATTTTACATAAAGCGCTGGCCAAGATGTTTATCTCATCAATTCTCCACATTTCGAACAAACAACAATTGTTTTATCAATATTTCCTATGATAACATTTACTATAAAAGCAAATAATTTATCAAATGATAATATATATGTACAATCTGCAAAAATTAATGGTATAGAGTGGCATAAAACTTGGTTTAAACATAGTGATATTGCTAATGGTGCTATTTTAGAATTAGAAATGGGCAACAAAGTTAGTCAAACTTGGGGTATTATTGATGCAAATGGAAGTCCTGTGCCATATCCACCTAGTTTAAGTGATGATATAGAATAATTAAGTAATTTAATAATGTTTTTTTGATAATTTAAAAAGTTGAATATATTACAAAATAATTTTTTTGTGTTTAATCTATATGTTAATACTAAAAGAAAAGAGTAAAGAAAAAGGGTATTTATTTTTGGTGCACCCTCTTTGATATCTCAAAATTTTACTATGGTAACCTCTGTTGTGTAACTAATAAAAAATATTCTCCGTAAAGTTTTTACGCTAACCAAACCTATATTCTAACCCTAACCCTAACCCTAACTCTAATTTAATTCTTATTTATATTGATTTTACTATAGTTTGAAATAGGGTGCACCATGGTGCACCCTGCACCAAAGATAAATTCTCAAAGAAAAAATTCTTAACTTTATAACTTTTTCAACAAAAAAAATTAAATAAGTAATTGCAAAACCAGAAATTTAATATGTTAAACTAGCGTAATGATGCTGGTAATAAAATGATGGCGTTTTGTAGGTTGGAACCTTATGTATCAAGTTCTTAAAATGCAAGCTAAGAAGTTTTATTGGGATTTTATCAAAAATGGGGATCTATAAAGCGGGTGGATATCAAGATACGATTTATGCAGTATATAGATCAATCCATTATTTGCAAATTCTCCCTTTGATCGTATTATATTTTTATAGTTCGAATAAATGCTATAAATATCTTTTAAAGAATTATCAGCAAGAATATCTTTTGTAAATAAAGCAGAGACTAATTTTATAAGCATAACGCGAAGTGACTGTTTGGATTACTGGATTAACGCATCAAATTTATCTTGAAAAATCTAAAATAGAAGGTTACAATTCCACTGAATAATTATTCATTTTTTCCAGAAATCTCGAGGCCTTTCATCTTATTAGCAATTTCAATGCAATATTCGTCAAATAGCATTAACCTTTAATATTATAAATTTTATGTACTAACAAAGAACTTTAACTATTTTAGAGATATGGGCTGATGTGGATATCTGATATGAGTGACGAATTATCCAGAACGGCCCTCCCAAAGTGCCAGTAACGTAATGAATGCCACAGACATTTCACCAATCAGGTAACACTATATCATTAAGTAAGCATAAATCTAGGAGGTTTTGTTCGGTATAGAGTGAGTTCGTTATATAGTTGATTGTTTCTATACCGAAACAACTCGGTATACAGAGCTAACCAATGAAATAATGTGTAAGATCACAACGGGTCAGTACATCTTCGGAGATTCTTGCTCCAGTTTGGAATCTTTAGGAACCGGTGTTATATACAAATTTGTAAAAGTTCGGATGCGGTATACAAAAATTTACTATATAAGTTCGGTATAGACAGCCTAAATTCTTATAAAAAATCGGTTCTGCCAAATCTGGTTCGTTATAACCCGACACGAGTTCGGTATAAACAGTTCGGTATATCCAGAGTCGACTATATATCCATTACCTATATAATTTACGTCACTGGCACTTTGGGGGCTGGCTAATTCTCTAAGTGACGCCAAGGAAAAACCAGACTTCAGATTGTTATTATTTATCGATTTAGCCCTGAAGACGACATATGGCACGTAATTAAATTCACTTATGTATAATGTATGTCTCTAATCAGGCTGAGTCTGCGGCACTCATAGGCATACATTGTGTTCGATTACAGGTAAGATGAATAATGGAACTCAAACAACTCACACTGAAACAAACATCTCGAATTGATGATTGATAATTCAACTAATTTGTCAACTGATAATAATAAAACCATTATAGTTCGAGCAAATCATCCAATTTCTTTAGAGTTTAAAATTATAAATGATGGAAACAATGGGTATGTTAATAATTATTTTATTTCATAATATCATAATTGCTCCTAGATCTTTTCATAAATCTTTAATTCTATTTATTAATAGAATAATTGGAGTCGGATGTACAGAGCAAAAACGATAAAGAAATAGGAAGTTCAAATGTAAAAACATATAACATGCTAATGCCAGGTAATAGCAGATGTTCTATTTTCTATTGTTATAGATATCATATATGCATCCATTAGGACAAGAATAAAAGGAAAATGAGAAAAATGAGGAAAATGGATTGTGAGGATATGGTTACCATGGTGATGATGGATATTCGTTTTGTTCTGGAAGTGGTGAGCTGTATGGACCAATATATACTACTGGTGACATTATTAGATGCTATTTAAACTTCATAAAGAGAATGGTATTTTATGCTAAAAAATGGAGTCAACTTAGGTAATTAGCACTTTATAAATTATGCTTTATACTTTACAAAGCAAAATCAAGAATATTTGTCACGGCTGATGCTGAATATGGCTGATGAACCTACTTTGATATAAAATTTTTACTTTTTGGGGTGTATTTTTTTAGCTTTTGTAATAGTAAGACTAGAATTTAGGGTTAGAATTATGAATAAAAGAGTATATGTGGGTTTTGATAGGTGTAATGGATCCAAATTAAGACGTGACAATATTTATAAAATATTTTAAGGAATTGTATTCCATTTTCCGGATGGTTTAAAGAACATATATCTATGTGTTCACAAGACAGGTCTGTAAAAGTAAATTTCGGTCGTGAAACATTCGAATATTCTGGTAAATTTATTTAAGAACTTAATCGTTTTGACTTATTAAGAATTTAGCCTTATTTATATATTTATTTCGATGACCAATGAAAACATCAAACAATATATTAACAAGGTTTAAAAATATATTTAGTAAAAAATCAAATAACGATAATATATTAATATTGAAGTATCAAGAAAAGTTTCATTTTATTATGGGTGAAAATGAAAATATACTTGTTAATTTAACAGGTGAATTAACCAAATCACTGGGAAAAAAGCAAAATATTCAAGGACAAATATTTTTCCTTATGGGTGAATACAATAAAGCACTTGAAACTTTAACTAAACTGCTAGAAATTGAACCAGATAATATAATAGCACATTGAAAAAATATAATAAATCAATTGCTGGCACCAACTACGAAAGGTGGATTAATGACGTGACGGTGATGAAAAACACACCAACTACGAAAAGTACTAAAAAACGAAACCATGACTTAAGAAAGAATACATGTTAATACAAAAAATTAAAAAAAATAAAAATTATGTACACTTAAAAAAATATAGATAAAATATACCAACCAAATCAAGGAATGATTTGTTCGTCGATGACTTCTTTAAGGTTTCCGGATAAGTCCATAACTGAAAACTCATCCGAACGTTTGTATAATCTTCGTCATGCCAAAAGTGTACCACATTTAGCCTTTTTTTGAAGTTCTTCGCATGGCCAATATGGATTTTTGACGTCATCCCTCACGAGAAAAGTGATCAATCCACTTTTCTAAAGGGCGAAGTTTTTCAGCATATTTGAGCACTTGATCAAAGTGCTTATTTAAGTTTATTGAGGATGCCGTTGCCAAAAGTTCCAAAATCGCGACAAGTTTGGATGACATCGTCTAACTTAGACAAAAAATAGTTAATTATTTTAGTAATTGCAAGATCGCAATAAAGATGATCATACTCACCATCGCAAACCTGTTCCAAGTGACATTGGCCAGTCACTTCAAAATTATGTACTTTTACAAGCCAATTATGCAGGATTCTATACATCTCTGCATCGTAGACACTCTCTCGAGGTACTTTTACATCTTGATGCGCTTTGCTTTCTCAGCATTTTTATAGTTTTTGAGGATCAGCTTGACAAAATGCAAAAGCGACCATCGTTGAAAGGGAATAGCCTTAAAATACTCGTGGTAGGGATTTCTTCGGTAACTTCTTTAACGTACATAGTCTATTAATTGTTAGCGGGTAAATAGACATCAACAAAACAAGAGAAAAGCGACGGATTGTAACTACAGAAATACCCACTTTTTCTTTGTTTTTTACAAAAGCTTAAGAGAAATTTATTATTAAATAAAAAAATAAAATTTATTGCTAATAAATGTTATAGCCTTTATTATTACAAAATGTTCTTAAAATTCTAATTCTATGTCGCTTGGCCAAGGGATACGTCGCGTAACATTACTCAATAGAGAGGGTGAGGCGGTTACGATTTGGCGAGGTCTAAAACGTCTATTGAGGTATGTTACAAGAGTATTTTAGCAGACTTAAAGAGAGATATATTTTGGGTTGCACTTAGAGGGTCTTGATTAATGAATTAAATTTGTAGGAAGCAAATTACACACTTTGACAAGAGGAATTCGACCTCTTATTTATAACAATGAAAGTAGGCAAAAACGCCGTCATTTTACCACCTCATTACCACAGCCTCACACTTAACCAAACAGGGTACAATTGAACTATCGTTCGATTTTGGACGGTCATTGACAATCAGGTTAGTTGAAATCGACCTTCCCTTTTTAGCATGATTTGCGATCTTATTGTTTCAAATCGGTGGCTTGGTGCATATGTTTCACGATGAATTCGGGCATAACGTTCGCAGGTCTAACAGTATACAACGAAAAAAAGTCAACTTAATCTTAGTACATTTTTATAGCACAGCGGGATTGATTGATTTTGAAGATCATCTCATCATATTAAAGTCTTATTAAAGTAACGATTTGCTATCACAAGAATGCCACGAGTGAAGGTAAACAAAAAAAATTCGAAAGTTCAAGCTTTACCTTAGGTACAATAAATCGTTAAACTTGGCAATTTAAGTTGTCTTTATTCGTGAGAATTTATTTTTCGTAACCCAACTAATAAAGAAACTTGACTACATATAATCTAGGTTAATAATAATTAAAATGAAGTTGGGAAGATTGAAGAATAAGTACCCCGTGATATCTTCGTGATCATCACATCACATGATTAAATTACTCAGCCTAAATTAGAGTTAGGGTTAGGGTTAGATGATAGTATAGTTTAAGCTGATTTCTGGATTTGTTAGTGCGAGTAGCACCCCTTGAATGTGTGACAGGTTTGTGGCGCAGATGTCCTGAATTACGAATTAGATTTCAAGATCAGGTGTAAC